TTCTCCTTGTGCCCTCCATCTTTCCCAACATCAGGGTCTTTTCCAGGGAGTCTTCTCTTCTCAGGAGGTGGCCAAAGTATTGGAGCCTCAGCTTCAGGATCTGTCCTTCCAGTGAGCACTCAGGGCTAATTTCCTTAAGAATGGATAGGTTTGATCTTCTTGCAGTCCATGGGACTCTCAAGATTCTCCTCCAGCACCATAGTTCAAAAGCATCAATTCTTCGGCAATCAGACTTCTTTATGGTCCAGCTCTCACTTTCATACATCACTACTGGGAAAACCATAGCTTTAATTATACAGACCTTTGTTGGCAAGGCGATGTCTCTGCTTTTTAAGATGCTGAGACATAATCTAGTATGTATTAAAACAGCTTCCTGTTTAGAATTGCATACGTATATTTGATTGTTCATATTTTATCATTTGCATTTGTCAGTTGTCAGATATCACAAGTTACTTAGGTTACATAAAACACCTATAAAACAGAGCATACAAGAATGAAAATAATTTCACCATAAAATCCCACCACTTCTGGCCCCAACGGCTGTGCAGTAAGAACCAGGACAATGCGCACAACCATGTTTGGCTGATGCATAATGCAAGACTCTGAATTTCATGTTTTTTAAAAAAGGCATCAAGAGATAAAAACTGGAGCAACAAATCATTGGGTTCAGTTAGAGTGTTTTATAAAGGCATCAAAAGAAGTCAATTCTATAGTGGTGGTCACACTATGCTATCATTCCGCTAGAGGTCTCCAACTAGTGGTCAGGTCAAGGTCAGATCAAGATGCAAAAACCTTCAAAGAACATCTGCTTGCAGAGGAAGACATGATAGTGAGTTGGCAAGACTGCTTTAACAGATGACTCCCTGTGACTTTCTTTCTTTGGTATAATATCTATAATCTGCACAATCCTGCTGAAAAATGCCATTTCTAACTAAATATACCTGAACAAAAGTTTAGATGCTTTGAGAAAAATAGAGACATGGGATTTATGAAAGAATGCAGAGTGGTATAAATATAGTACACTGGAAAACAACTTTTCCTTAATGGGTAGGTAGCATGGCAAAAGAGTATCATGGTGACAAATGAATACCCATAGTAGATAAATATAACTTGCCTTATTTTCCAGATTTTGACAGTAGAATGGGGAGGCTGTAAATCAGTTAAATCATTTGCTGATGGATACTAATACTGTTCATCAACTAACAAATTAATGGAAAATTTAATATAGCACTGCAGTATGAACTATGACTACTGGCTGACAATACAGAATTACCTTGGCTAAGTGGTTTAGACAAGCTATTTGCTATTTATACAATCTGAAATTAATTCTTCATATCCAGTCATTTCCAGGGATGCCTTGGAATGCCACCAAATTCTGCCTAAAGCAGAAAGCTAAACATACAACCATACAACAAACATATAAGGTGTATGTAAAAATAAATAAAAAGTTTTTAAATGTTCTTTCAAATGCTCTTAAGTAGTATTTACCCATGCATTGTTGAACTACAGTTTTAAATGATTGTTAAGGTTTCCAAATTGCTGACAGTAAGATTTGTACACTTTGAATAAATATATATAAGAGAAGCAACATCTGGATTTATAGACTGCCTAAATAGATATCCTCAAATAACTTATTTAAATTCTGTAGGTTGCTCTGAACCTCTGGGGATGAAATCGGGACATATACAGGATTATCAGATTACTGCTTCCAGTGTCTTCAGAACACTCAATATGGATATGTTTACATGGGAACCTAGAAAAGCTCGTCTGGACAAACAAGGCAAAGTGAATGCCTGGACATCGGGGCATAGTGACCAGTCGCAGTGGCTGCAGGTAAATAATTTGTAGTAATTATTGGGATCCATTTTTCTAAATAATATTTTTATGGAAGGACATATGCTATCCTTTAATTCATCATATTTTTTATTTGATTGATTGTGGTTCAATAGATGCAAATAGGCAAGTGGGAATATAACAGACGGGACACCTAGAAAACCATGTTATGATGTGTCTGTTGACTCTCCCCACAGAGTGATAGGATCAATTCAGAAATTGCTGAAATACAGTTTAATGGATGGAATATCAAGAAGCCTGAGCCCAAAAATCTATAGGGAATAATTGAATTCTTTTTATCAAAATCACAGAATCCCTTTAGATACAAGACCATGTGAACTTCTGTCATAAAGACATGACCAGTGCTTTTACACATTTGAACATTAAACTCCAAGTTTCAAATTTGTCTCAGAGGGTTTAAATGACATAAATTGCTGATACGTATTCTACACAATAATTCTTTGAACATCCACATATACGCAACCCAAGCTGAGGTACTAGTGGGAACAAATCTTTTTAAATCCAGGTACTTATGCCTAACTTCATTATAGTTCATGCTGTTAGAAGAATCTTTCAAGAGAACTGAATCTTTGAACAGACAATCTTAAATCCCAGCTGGAAAGGTTTTATATGTGATTGGTTGGCTGTGTCATGTCTGTGCTACAGCAATGGAAGAAAAGTGGCTGATTTTAATTGAATATTTTTGGATCAAATTTACAAAATCAGATTCACTGAACCATATTAAATCATTCAGTTGGAAATTCTCCAGAGCCATAGAATTGCAATTGATTATTTGTCAAAGCAAATGAACGTTTGAATTTGATTAATGAATTCTGGAAAAAGCATTATTTCTCCCATCTCCGGGTGTTTCGGGTTTTGGTGGAGGCGGTTTTTGTTTGTTTGTTTTTGAGGGGGACGGGTGGCTGCAAAAAATGCATTAGGCTACTCCTCCAAAATTTGCCTTCCTTTTAACGTATTTGGCTCTAGTAAGATTGATTCTGCACTATAAATTCATTAAGAAGCTGTACACATTGCTTGTTTTCAGCATTGGGGTGATTTACAAAAGTTCCTCGGAAGGCTAATATGCAAAAGAGCAACAAATCACCAAGCAGAAGACTATTTGACCAGTCACTGCTCAATTTACATATTAGAAACATTGTAGATTGCATTGTTTTGAAACCGCTGCCAGGGGAGAATGGAATTCTCAGCATGAACCCTTAATTGTGCCAGAAGTGTGCTACTAGCCTCCTGCAATCTTTTCACATATAAATTATAACTTATTAGCTTTTCCTTCTTCAATTTCTTTACCTGCTGTTGCTAAGCAATTCAACAGAGCGATAAACATATTTGCTCTGAACTCACACACGGAGGGGGAAGGGGACAGACAGAACTTGTAGAACTTCCATGTCTATTTATTATCTCAGTAATTGAAGATGGGTATATTCAGTCAAGTCATTAATGCACTGTGATATCCCAAGCCATAGCAAAGAGGAATATGGATTTACTGCTAGCCAGCTCAACTATATAAGCAAGCCAGTGAGGAAAGCAATAAGGCACTATGACTGGGAAGAAGTCAGGGTCACCAAGCCACCCCTCAAATCACCAGGAGGTGCCCACATTGCGGACATCTCACTCTGCTTTATAAAACTTCTGCTATTTGGGAAGGCACTTGATAGAGCATGTCAAGGATCCCTTTTCAGCTGAGGGGCACATTCCTTTCCGAGAAAGCTTCAGAGGGCCACATTGCAGTGGTGGGTAAAGCCAGAAGCAAAAGTGTGTGAAACAAGGGATGTAAAGTTTACATTTGTACTGTAGGCTAGTTTCTACACACACTGGCATACGGCTCTCTAGACAAGCAGGGTGCATTATCAGAGTTCCAGTATATATTTCAGCTGGGTAATAACACTCAGGGTGTAAAGCAGGCCGTGAGAGGTGTGGCCTGGGGAGAGGAAGCCAGATAGAGATCTGGTGAGCTGCATTATATGCCCAGAACTGAGCCTTTCCGCTTGTGGTACAGAGACAGGAGAGGATCGGCGTGGGGATTCCATGCCTCCGACCTGGAAGAGCACAGGAAATAGCTTGAATTCAGACATGGGTGCGCACGCTCCAGCCCACCGAGAGGTCTCTCAGGAAGTGGACCGGACCAGCCTCAAAAAATGTTGCCGGCCCCTGATCTAGGCTAACATAAGAAGGTGCCCCCCCAGCACACACACCAGAAAAGCTTTTTAGAGGTAGAGATGGGAAGGAAATTTGATTCAGTTCACTTTTAATTACCTAATTTGTGAACCAAAACAGAACCATCATACGAAATTCTGTACTTGCAGTTCTACAAGCAAGTAACGTGCACAAAAATACATACGTTAGTGTATGGTGTGTTTATAGTTTCATATCTTAGTGAAATCACATACAGAGATGTTATTTCTCCCACTGAGTTTCCAACCACATTTCAAAGTGTTGGTGCTGACCTTTAAAGCCCTAAACTGCCTCGGTCCTGTATACCTCCACCCGCATCATTCTGCCTGGACACTGAGGTCCAGCACCAAGGGCCTTCTGGCAGTTCCCTCCCTGCGACAAGTGAGACTACAGGGAACCAGGCAGAGGGCCTTCTCAGTAGTGGTGCCTGCCCTGTGGAATGCTCTCCCATCAGATATCAAGGAAATAAACAACTACCTGACTTTTAGAAGACATCTGAAGGCAGCCCTGTTTAGGGAACTTTTTAATGTTTGAAGTTTTATTCTGTTTTTAATGTTCTGTTGAAAGCTGCCCAGAATGGCTGGGGATACCCAGCCAGATGGGCAGGGTAGAAATAAATTATCATCATCATCATCATTATAGATGGATTCTTTAAAGGGAAAGTGCTTTGCAGAAATGTGTATGTTAGGCAAAACTGCATACAAATATGTATATATTAAGAGAAATTCATACAAAAATGCTGGTGAATTTCCAAGAGGACTTAAAAAAAAGTTCCTTGCCCCTAGGATCTCTTGTTAAAATTTAAGGATCTGTTTGTTTTTATTGCATTCTATAAAGAACCCTTGTAAACCTCTTCAGAGTCTGGGGAAAGGATTCGTGCCAATCCAAAATCCTTTCTTGGGGGGGAGGGAGGAAGACCAGCATCTATTTCCAGACTAAGGTAGGAGCCAAGGGATACAGCTCCTCCCTTTGCCTGACACAGACACTCACTCTCACTCTCTCTCACTCTCTCTCACTCTCTCTCACACACACACACACACACACGAGAGAGAGAGAGAGAGAGAGAGAGAGAGAGAGAGAAATTGGATGGCAAATGAGAAAGTAGGAAATGCATGCAGACAGGCCGCTTTTCTGTCTCCTGCTGATCTCAAAAAACCAAATTCATTCGGGGACAATGTGGTATTACTTTGAGGTACATTATTCCACTGCTGGCGACAATGAATCTGTGGTTGTATGCAGATGGGCAGGGAATTAGGGAAGTGAGGAGGCGAGGCAATGACAGCCCTTATTATTTTCTCTAACAATTTATGTTATGTTCCAAACGCTTTCTCCTGTTGTACCTGATTGAGTATACAAATTGATTCATTCTGCATCCAGGTGGCTGCTGGCAGATTTTCTGTCAGTCTGAGAAGAGTAATGCCTGCCCCCCCCCTTCAAACTATACAAAAACCCTGTAAGGCAAGTTATGGTTTCTGAAGAGAAATTATTCCCATTTGACACACACACACACACACACACACAGAGAGAGAGAGAGAGAGAGAGAGCGCCAAAGATAATGAGGGCAAAAAATTATTTGGCAATGTAATTTTAATGTCAGAAGGTGGAGGTAACAGCTACAGCAAATGTGTGCCTACGACAAACACTACAGAAGGCAAATACGTCTGTCACAAGGAAGTGTGAAATGGACCATATGAAAGGACTGAAGAAATTATACTTTTGCCATTAATATGATACTAGTTGCATTGTACCTATGCTTTGCATTTCTGAATACATTCCATCTCAGCATTTATGGATGACACCCACTGATGTCTGTGCACTTCTGTAACAAAAAGCTACTTGCACAACTGTACTTCCAGTTTCTTCCCCTGCCCTCTGCAGCCCCCTGTGTGCATATGCTGGAAATATGCATCCAAGATTATTCCCAGACATCTCAATTTTATGGGATAATAATAATAATAATAATAATAATAATAATAATAATAATACCCTGCCCATCTGGCTGGGTTTCCCCAGCCACTCTGGGCAGCTTCCAACAAAATATTAAAAGACAATAGTCTGTTAAACATTAAAAACGTCACTAAACAGGGTTGCGTTCAGGTGTCTTCTAAAAGTCTGCTAGTTGTTTTTCTCTTCGACATCTGGTCGGAGAGCGTTCCACAGGGCGGGTGCCACTATCAAGAAGGCCCTCTGCCTGGGTCCATGTAACATGGCTTCTCGCAGTGAGGGAACCACCAGAAGGTCCTCAGCACTGGACCTCAGTGTCTGGGCAGAATGATGGGGGTGGAGATGCTCCTTCAGGTATACTGGGCCGAGGCCGTTTAGGGCTTTAAAGGTCAGCACCAACACTTTGAATTGTGCTCAGAAACGTACTGGGAGCCAATGTAGGTCTTTCAACACCGGTGTTATGTGGTCTCGGCAGCCGCTCCCAGTCACCATTCTAGCTGCCACATTCTGGAATAGTTGTAGTTTCCGGGACACCTTCAAAGGTAGCCCCACATAGAGCACTTTGCAATAATCCAAGCGAGAGATAACTAGAGCATGCACCACTCTGGTGAGACAGTTCACGGGCACATAGGGTCTCAGCCTGCATATCAGATGGAGCTGGTAAACAGCTGCCCTGGGCACAGAATTGACCTGTGTCTCCATAGACAGCTGTGAGTCCAAAATGACTCCCAGGCTGTGCACCTGGTCCTTCAGGGGCACAGTTACCCCATTCAGGAACAGGGAGTCCTCCACACCTGCCCGCCTCCTGTCCCCCCAAAACAGTACTTCTGTCTTGTCAGGATTCAACCTCAATCTGTTAGCTGCCATCCATCCTCCAACCACCTCTAAACACTCACACAGGACCTTCACTGCCTTCACTGGTTCTGATTTGAACAAGAGGTAGAGCTGGGTATCATCCATATACTGATGAACACCCGGCCTAAACCCCCTGATGATCTCTCCCAGCGGCTGCATGTAGATGTTGAAAAGCATGGGGGAGAGGACAGAACCCTGAGGTACCCCACAAGTGAGAGCCCAGGAGTCTGAACACTCATCGCCCACCACCACTTTCTGAACATGGCCCAGGAGGAAGGAGCGGAACCACTGTATAACAGTGCCCCAGCTCCCAGCCCCTCTAGATGGTCCAGAAGGATGTTATGGTCGATGGTGTCAAAAGCCGCTGAGAGATCCAGCAGAACAAGGAAACAGCTCTCACCTTTGTCCCTAGCCCGCCGGAGATCATTGATCACTGCAACCGAGGCAGTTTCAGTCCTATGATGAGACCTGAATCCCAACTGAAAGGGATCCAAATGGTCTGCTTCTTTCAGGCATGCCTGGAGTTGTTCAGCAACCACTCGCTCAATCACCTTGCCCAGGAATGGAATATTTGAGACTGGGCAATAGTTGGCCATATTGGCCGCATCTAAAGATGGTTTTTTAAGAAGCAATTTGATAACCACCTCTTTCAGTGGGTCTGGGAAGGCTCCCTCACAGAGAGAAGCATTCACCACCCCGCAAAGCCCATTGCCCAGCCCTTCCCGGCTAGCTTTTATAAGCCAGGATGGGCAAGGATCAAGGAGACAGGTGGTTGGTTTCACTCGTCCAAGCAGAGGTAACAGATTGGAATTGATCCCACACAACTTGGCTAGACAGGACTAGCACTCTCCCGCCCTGGCCCTGTTCCCATGGTGGAGTCTACCTCTTCCCAAATCTGAGTGATTTTATCTGCAAAAAAACTTTTCAAAATCATTGCAGGAGATCATGTGGCCCATACTGGGCCCCGGTGGAGCAGGTGGTTCTGCTGAATTGCAAACCACCTGAAAGAGTCTCCTGCTGCTGTTTTCTGCAGATGTAATAGAGGCAGTGAAGAAAGTCTTCTTCTCCGTCGCTGTCGCCACTTCGTAGGCTCGACATTGAGCTCTAACCTGTATCTGGTCAGCTTCAGAATGAGTTATCCGCCACCAGCGCTCTAGCCATCTCAGCAATTGTTTCATCTACCTCAGATCCATGGAAAACCATGGGGCTGTCCGGGCTCCATGCAATCGGAGAGGGTGCTTCGTAGCCAAACGGTCAATAGCCCTGGTTAACTCCACGGTCCAGCGGGCCACCAGGGAATCAGCTGAAAGGCCATCAATATGGGATAAAGATAAAGATATAAAGATAAAGATAAAGAAGCAGATTGATAGCATAATCCTTTTCATGTCTGTATGTCCCCTCAGAATCCCAGATTATAACTGAACAAGTTTTCAAGGCAATTTGAAATGAAAATAACATTAAAATAATCTCCATAATATAAATTTAAAAGACAGTATATTGGCGAATAAAATTGCAGGTAAACTTTTTGAGCTCAACCAAAGGCAGTATCAGACTAGCATTGTCTAAAAAGAAGAAGGTGGACAAGTACAAATATTTCCACACATTTGTTAAAAATAAGGCACCAAGTGTGCTTCCTCAGGAAAGTATTCATAGATACATAGGAACATTCCAAAGGCAGGGTGCCACAGCTGTAAAGACACTCACTGTCATTGCTGACGGCCTAAACATAAGTGGGGTGGGGTGAGGAAAATATATAAAGGCCTCACATGAATTCCTAATTTATTGATTTCCCAAAAGTACCTCATCAACCAACCATAGGCTTCACAATCTTAGTGAGTGCTTAAAAATACAAAGATATACTTGAGAGTCCAATCCAGACATGCTATACATCAGTTCTTGAAAGTACTTGTGACTCAATTTGATATATTTCTTCCTCTCAAACATTGGTAAAAAATGTGCTTTTATTTCCTGATTGCAGTAACTTGCCTTGCAAATTTCAGAAGGGTAATGGAGAAACTCACATGACCAAAGCAGATGATTCAATCTGTAAAAGCTTTTTAAAAATTGAAAACATAAAGTACCAATTGAAATAGTCATTTTGTCCCCTGGCATACAGCCTACTCTCTGACTTTGTCTTTGTCTCTACTTGTCATGCTGGAAAAAACATTAAACTTTGCCTTCTTTACGTGGTATTAATTCCCATTAATTATGATGATTAGTGATAAAATGGACTCCACAGCATCCAAGGGCATTACCTGAGCAATGCACTTGACACAGTTTCTGGAGGTCATCGCCTCACCCACTTTGCCCTGCATATGATTTCAGGCTGAATCCATTATTCATATTAATAGTGTTGTTAAAGTGTACACTGTGGCATTGCCCTTTTGAAAATTGCTTTTAACTTTGCAAAGCTTCCATTCACCATTCATTTTATGAAAATGTTTATGGCTACAATAGAATTTAGGCATTTCATTTTAGTTTAGTTTATTTCAATTTTTAGAAACTTTTTTAAAATGCAGCATTTAGGCTATAAACCTCTGTAAAGTAATTGAATTTATTCTGGCCAGCCACCTATAAGGACATTATTAACAAGGCAGGGCAGAAATTTTTTTCCAGAAGTTTATTTTATAATCAAGAGTCCATGAAATAAACAGGGGTAAGTGGTAGGGACATTTGAGGGTGTGTATGTTTGTTTGGTTTTGCCTCCTTAGGTTCCATTTTCATTTAATGGCATGATAAGTAGCTATAAAAAGATGGTATGTTGCTATTAATAATAATAATAAATCTCCACTGCAAAATGTATGACATTCAGAAATAATTAAGGTGCCTAGTTTTTGTGATAGGGAACTGATAAACAATAATCTGGCGTATTAATTTGTGTTTCCATTCTTAGCTAAACCTGAAAAAAAGCTTAAACTTTAGGGGCTCCTCCAGATTGCCTGTTAATTGAGCATTTGTCCTGCTTATGCAGACGTTAGAATTTCTCCAGTCTTTATTGAGACTTTCCCACCAGGTCCCAAAATTGAAGTAGTCAAGGACTCTACTCATAGCTTCACTGTTGCTTTGCTGTAGCAGAGGGGCAATGCTGCTTATGCGGAAATGTCATTTTGGTCATGCCAGCCGGTTGCTGGATTATCCCTATGTTGCTATAAAATTCTTCTCAAGGAGGCTTATATAGGTTTCAGGTGCTGAAGTCCTTTTTATGGTATTGTCAGGAATGAGCCAGTTCCAAGTGGAACTTTACAGCCAGTTGCAGAATATGGGCAGAAACAGAAAGGTTTAGATTTGACAC